GACTCCTACACCTTCCGCCTAGGAAAGGATGTCATCCATAGTTCAGGACCATTTCCTTGGACCACAGCAGGCCGAAATCTGAAAGCACTTTAGGAGTACTTCACACTACACCGGTCCTTATCAGAAGTAATTTAAATGAATCGATTACGTGTCATGAAAACTCTTGCCTTATCCTTAGTATTGGAGAGCACAATGGAGTGCCCCCCCCCCGAACTGGAGTTCCACCCACATCTGCATGCCTTGTCGTCAAACTATCCGCTCTGGGAGCGCTCGCGAGGTTAGCACTTATTGTGGTCACGTTGTCTATTGCGACACTAATGAATCTTCAAAGTACTCTTTCTTTTTAGTGCTACTATGCCAAGGCGAAGGCGACAAAATAGCTAAATATTCAGTATACCGGTTAGATGCTTTCAAATGAACTCGGACTGTCACTATTCATTAGTCCCTCGAGTTGCTACATACCTAGATCATATATAGCCCTGTGCAGGCTTATTACTGAAATTTCCCTTCTACTGTCTTTCACTGGAAACCGAAAACGTAGCGCAACCTACATAGTAAGCACTGACCATTGCTGACCGAGTTGCCCTTCATTTATTTTTATTCTTAACGATAGATCATTACCTCTGGTGCAAATTCTTCCACCATAGAGTAGCTATTGCCATCCTTTTGATACCTAAAGTCGCCTCTCTTGACTCTTGGAGCAATTTCGTCCTCATCGAAGTACAGACCTAAAAATACTCGATCATCACTCTTTCTGGAAACTGTAAAAACTTATTTGCCACTTGAGCTGGAATTTATTTGCTAATTTATGAATTGCAGATTTTCCTTACTCTTCACTTTTTTCACGAATAGAAGTAAATAAGCAGTTTGCCACTCAATATCGCCACGGCTAGGTCAAGCCATTGTTCATTTTTTGAGTAGCACCATGCTTTATCTAGGGCGTAACCATTTTCGATTTCCGTGACGAATTAAAATCTCCAGATTTTGACTGTTGTGCAGTCTAATCTAAAACACTTATATACTAGGGAACTCCTTGTCGAGGAACCTGCAGCCTTGTGAGCTATTGTACAGTTGAAGAGTCAGGACTGTATTCATTCTACTAGGCCACTGCACACGGTAGTTACTAACTAGTATGACGGAGCTTCTTCTTGAAATAGTCATAGTAAGGTTGATGTGGATATCACTTCATTATATAAACCAGAAGTTTGGTGTGTCGGTTTGTTTGTGTGTATGTATGTACGTCTGTCTGTCCGTCCGCAAAATGAAGTGAGTGATAAGGCAGCTAATGGAGTAAACAGGCCGCTAACAAATCTGGGTAGCTCGCAGGGCTTGCCCTATCACTGTTTTGCAATGCATGGTTCTAATAATAAAACAGTGACTATATAAACACCTACCCTCCCCTTCAAAAAGCCAGAAAGTGTCGGGTGCAGACCATACACCACAAGTGACGACGGCCTCCAGAAAATGCAAATGTTTTTTGCCAATGAAATGATTAACCTGTTACAGTTGTATTCGATCAGTTGACACTTACAACTATCATTTACTAAAAATCAGCTATCACTATGAACCACTACTAACCAGATTTACTTGGAGGCCGTCGTCAGTTGTGGTGTTTGGTCTGCACCCACACTTTCTGGCTTTTGAAGGGGGAGGGTACTTAGCCCACTCTTGGTTATTCACATGTTGCTACAATGGCGGCAGAGCAGTGAAGAGAGGAGAGGAAATGGAAAGGAGGTGGAGGAAATCTTTTCACAGTGGAAAGCGTCAAGATTACGCAGTGAAGGGAGGTCCAGGTGGCTACCGGGGCAGGGTCAACCCTACGTTGTTACGAGTAACAACGGGGGGGTCGTACCTGGTTGAGTTTGTAGGAGGGGGGGTCGTACCCACTTTAGTCGCTCGAAATCACGTGTGGGATTGAGGTGAAACTAAGATTTCGTGGGTAGTAGGCTGGGCGAGTGGAGGGCGCGCAGGATAAAAATTTGCCGTTTCAGCGGCGTATATACCCCCCTAGAAAAGGAAGTAGTGGGAGTATAGGTAAAAAATGGGTTGAAATGGTGGAAATAGAAGGAAATTTTCGGAGATATTTACCGTTTCAGAGTGACTATATACCCTCCCCCCCCTCCCTCTCGACGGCATTTTTGGAGGAAAAAGTGGGCGGGGTTTTGATGGAAGATGGAGATGGTGGAGGTAGGGAAAGGGGGTCGTATCAAATCCACGTTGGGGAGGGGGGTCGTAAAAATTTTTCGAAAAGTAACAACGATAGGACCGACCCTGGCCGGGAGACCAATCTGGTGTGTATATATTGTGGTAAAATACGCGCTCCTAGACATACGCGTGGACAAGCACTGATACAGTACTCCGCCGCGCGGTGACTAGTTTCGTCGCGCCGTCGAGGAAGAGGAGGGGTTCCACAACACAATCGAGACTCTATTGGTGAAGTGCCACCGATAGTCAACTCCGTTCCGTGTATTGTGAATGGATAGGCGAAGGGAAGAAGGTCCAAACTGACTATAAATAAAATTAATGGTTTGATATGAATAAATTATACAGTTTTATCGTCAGGGTTTTTTTAGCAGATCAAGTACTTTCTGGGTAACCTGCTCCTTTTTATGCTGCTCACTTTTTTTTACTGATTAGTCCGTCAGCCGAATCCTTCCACCTAGATGTTGTGAATTGAACCGTTTCTTGCTGGGAGTAGAGAGCCGCCGGGAGGGGGGGAGAGAAGTAACATAAGGAGTAGGGAAAGATGATACCGTGAAAAAACTTGCCTATATTTCCATCATTACCGACTGGAGTTTGCTCGAGAAGTGTACCAAAGTCGTCCCATCTATAACCAAGTCGTTTACGCACTCGTTCTCGCGTTAGCGATCCGTTTTTGAAACTGAAAGCGAGCGACTAAGAATAAAAACTCAGATGTTTTCCGTTGGGAATGCGTTTTGAAGGGTTCTGATATTCTTTTCTTGTAAGATGACGATTTCAATGGGGGTTCACCAGTTTTCAACAAATGCTATCTATTAGGTCGGTCCATAATTTTTGAGAACCTTTGGTGTTTTTCGATTAATTACTTATCTTATTTCTCTGATGTATTTATTCAGCATAGTATACATCACCATTATTACCAACATATACCAATGCGAGGGTGGGTATTCAGTGTCTCTCTTGTAGAATTTCATAGTTCTGATCGAAGAAAAATTGGATGTCGATTTTGACTTTATGGTGATTCAAGTGAGATTTCTTCTCCAGAAGGTGATTGAGAGAGGAGAGCGGATAGTCGTTCGTTGGCACAAGGTTAGTGCTACAAGGCGGAGCTAAAAGAACTGACCGCCCGAGAGTCTCCAATTTTTTATGAATTTTCTTAGCAAGGTGGACTCGAACGACCTCAGAAAAAAATAGATTTTGTCTTACTTTGCTTTCAAGTTGAAGGCGTTGCCATCAAGCTGTCACGATTATCTTCATCACTGACACTGGTATTAGTTGGTGCCGGTTCCCAGCGCAAAGCCCTCTCGTATTCCGCCAACGACTCAGGAAGTTAGAATTCAGAGGGAGTTGGGTTTTTGCTGTCAGAACTCCCGAATCGTTTAAGCTAAGCTACTGCGGCTTGTGGATTTGTTAGCACACTGCACCCAGTCCACATCACCGATGAGTATGATGGATGGTCATTCGAAGGAACTATGGGAAACCAAGAGGAACATGATGATGTCAGATCGGGTGTAGAGCTGATTCGGGCTCAGAGCATGAGAATTCCCACATATTCAAACCTTAACGACTTTATCGAAATGTCTCAGTACACTCCCCTTCTAACACCAAAAGCGCTCTAACAAATAGTGCTCACTTTGTTCAGATTCCTTTCCAATGGCGCCGGATAGGGCATCGAGATTGTCAGCCACGGGGTGGTTGGAGTGTGGAACATCTTCGAATAAAAGGAGGGAACTCCTGAGTAGAGGTAACCACCAGAGCACGTGGATTGAGGGAGCGTGCCCTCAGCTATCCTCTGGGTAATCCTCCTTATAGCCCTGCTCGTGGAAGATTCTAATCTGAAGTCATGAAGAAAGAGGCTCAGAAGTAGGTCTCAAAGAAATTGGAAGTCTAGCTAAAGAAAGTAACATGCAAACGAGGTGGCTAGCCTGTCGGATAGGCGAGCTTGTGTGCTAGGTTGCTGGACATCTTGGAAAGCTTCAATACTTATCAAAAAATTTTACACCAATACATGTAAAATTTCTCAAAAATTATGGACCGACCTAATAGAATGCTATGAAAAATCAGTTTTATTTTCTGAAACATATGTCGGATAATTTCACGGCATCGAACACGATGGCTAGAAGGCGGAGCGGTTCTGATGACGTCAGTAAACCTCTCTGTTATAGAGATTTTGGAGGTGGTTTCATCCTTCAACACAACGTGGTGATAGTCCGGCCCACCATTGACATCCAGTAAAGTCATCAAAACCAGCCCGCCCTACAATCATCGTGTACACTGCCTTTACTATTAAGAATACTTCCATCAAATTTCCTTACCAGACAAGTGCCATGAATTCATCTCTTTTTCCCAGAAAATGACTGAAGAAATGTGCGTCCACACATGGTTTATACTCAGTAGTGGTAAAGAAAACAGTATCACTAGGTTCCAAGTGAGATACCCACGTCGTCTTCGGAAAGGTTTAAGCCAGCCAGTGAAGCTGCAATGACAGTTATTCGGGGAGGAAAGGCATGATAATAAGTAAATTTTTACATAGAAATATAAGGGAGGAGACTCAGTGGATCAAGTGCCGTCTCCTATCCTTCCCAAGCTAGCGAAAGAAAAACCCCATCAAATTTTCTCGTCCTCCTCAATTAAAAGTCGTCTTGAGAAAGTGAATATATTGTTGTAATGTATCTATGTGTGGCTAAAAGCAAGCATATGTGGAAGGTGAAAGGATTGGCTCTTCAAGACCATTAATTTTGAAGGACTCCTGTGTCTCTCTAGCCTGTTGGAAGGACAAGATACGACCCCAAGTCTCGATTTTGTCATCCTAACCTCCTTCGTACATAATATTCTGTATAATGTTCAGCTCACCGGGATTATCTCCTAAAAACGGGAGAACAGTACAATCGCTGTTAAAGCCGTACCTCTCGACCATATACTTCGACACCGGACCCTGAAACCAGCTTTCATTCAAAGGAATCCTCCACGGAAAAGCTCCGCCTCCATTACCACAGAAAAACGATACCTTAGGCCCCTAGCCTCATGAGCATAGCAAAAGCGTTAGTTTCGATAATACTAATCCTACACACAAGACAAAATGATCACTCTTTCCGTGGAAGATTCCTTTAAGGTATCGTTTTCTGTGGTAATGAGGGCGGAGCTTTTTCCGTGGAAGATTCCTTTAACACGTTGACGACATCGCGCGTTTTGGGTTTTTGCACCGCGTGGGACAAGGGCGCTTTTGCGAGCGCGGCCGTCACACCTCACACCCGTAAATTTCGAACGATAACCTTGGGAAGCTTCAAAGGTACGAAACCATTTCAGCAATATTCAATGCGTAGAAAGTAATCGAAGATATATAGTAGCGAAATTCCGATCAAAAAACGTGAAATGGTAAAGAAAATTGGAATTCAAGTCCTTTTCTCTGTAGTGGATGCCAAAACTATTTTCGATGTGGATGTGTCAAGTGAAACATATATTTTCTATCCCTTTAGTTTGTATTTACTTTCACTACCCTTTCTCACTGACATGTTCATGAGAATAGGAAGAAAACGAGGGAATGAACCGAGCTGCCAATTCCGCTGTGCTTAAAAAACTTCTGCTAAACTGGAGCATATTTGATCATACCGTGACCCATGTCGTTTACAGTTATGTTATGTTGTAATCCATAGAATAGAGGCAAGCAAATTGGGAAGAATCCCGCATACGCTAGAAAAAGGGATGACAAGGGTGAGACGCGCAACCGCGTCTCAATGTCCAACGAGGTGCGCAAAGTGAGACGCGTTACCGCGTCTCAATGTCGTCAATGTGTTAAGGATATTGTCTGTAGTCCCATCTGGAGTCCATACCTTGTCAAAGACATCCAAAAACTTGAAAAGGTTCAGAAAACCTTTACGAGAATCTTGTTCTACAAAGTTTTCCCTGATATGAATTATCCTCACACTCTGCCATCTTATCAAGACCGCCTTCGGAAACTGAATTTGAAGAGTCTTCTCCACAGAAGGATTGTTTCTGATCTAGTCTTTGCTTTTAAGATAATCAAAGGCGAGTTACGAATCCGTCCATCGAACTTTTGGATTTTTCGGCCTTCGAGCGGACGTCGAGGCGGCTTCCAAACTTTTGGTCCACGCAATGGGCAAATTTCATAAGCAGCTTCGGCACAACAGCTTCATTCTACGCACTACTCGGTGGCTGCAGCGTCTACCTCCATCCCTACTATCGTGTCAAAACTCAAACTTCAAAGTAGCGCTAAAGAAGCTCAATTTATTAGAAGTTCTTGGTGTTGACGACGTAGAGTCTATCTCCATGTTTCCTGTCTAGTTTTCTGTTGTTGCTCAGGCTTAGCGGTTTCACTCTTGGGACACCCTTAAATTCTATAGTAAGCAAATCCTTCACTGTTGAAGGTGTCCCCCTCCCAAAAAACACTAAAACGCGGCTATGACTACTCTAGCCTAAGAATTTGGGAGGATGCGTCGCGGATTCTGTCAAGTTTGCCGGTTCCACGTGGGTGGTCGGCATACCCGTGTCTCGAAGTTCCGGTAAACTCCCATGACCCCTCAAGTGGCGCAAGGGCACCATGGCCGACTGGTGCTGACTTAAACTGCAATGCTAATCCCAAAGACTTCTGGCTTAGGTTTTCATAGCTTCGTGTGACTTCATTTGCGTGAGCATACGATTTAAGTGAGGCCCTTCCTTGTCCCGTTCGCCGAGGGAAGCAGCTTGCCTGAACAACTTCTTCTCTTCTTTTCTTCACTCAGTAGTCCTTCTTTACTGTTTATTTCATTTTCCTTCTTTTTCATAGTTTTTTACTTGCAACTGTTTTAATAGCTGCCATTATAATTATCAGTTTATGTTATAATTTTTTTCTGTTCTTTCTGAGTCATGCAATTTTCATCGCCACCATCAACAGCTGTCAAACAGTTCTCATTCCATTCTTGTGTCTGAAACCAAAATCTCCCGTTAATTCTCTCCTGTTTCACTATCACTTACTCAAGATGAAAAAATGGGTATACATAGCGCAATAACTAGACGCGCCGCATCGTATTAGAATGGTAAGAAAGTCCTGAGCCGTTTGACACTTTTTTTGCTTTACTTTTTTATTCCGCGTACAATGGAATTTACTCAACAATATAATCACCATTGTTACTCACTACAGAGTCCCACCTAATGGGCAGGTCAGCGATCCCATTCTCCTAGAACTGAAGAGACTGGAAGTCAAAGAAATCACTCACTTTCGACGTTTTCTTTTTCTTCGCTAAGAATGTCTTAAGGGGGCGAAATAGTAAGTCAGAGAGGCAATGTCGGGGGAATTGGATGGGCAGGTAAGTATTTCCTAGAGCTCTTCTGATTTTGCACGGGTCTTTTAGCTATGTGGGGCCTGGCGTCATCGTGGAGTAGGTGGACAGAAGTTCGTCTCGGTCGTTTTTCTCGAACAGCGTCCGCTAGTTTCTGGAGCTGACTGGCGTAAATGCTGCCGGTAGCGGTATGCCCTTGCGGGAGCAGCTCATAATACAACATTCCTCGCGAATCCCAGAGGCAGCAAAGAAGACAGCTTTGGGGTGAAGGTCCGATTTTGCTTGTGTCGGCGGGTCTTCTCCTCGAGGGAGCCACACGGCACTGTGCTTGTTAGAATCGTAGAGGACCCAACTCTCATCTCTCGTAATCATGCCTTCCAAAAACTCCTTTCGGTGCGGACAAAGAAGGAGAAACTGACAAATGGGTACCCGCCTGAACCGCGTGCTATCGGTCAAGACATGAGGGATCCATCGAGTCGGCACTTTCCTGTGGCGAGGGCGTGGAGGGGACCGAGGACTGTGGGATGGGTGCACCCGAGTCTTATCACAAGGCTGCGGGTGCTAACCTCCGGATCCTCTTCGACAGCGCCGAGAACGGTGGAGTCTTCCACTGTTTGGGGGCTTCCCAACCTTGTCTTGTCTTCGGAAGCCGTGTCTCCTCCTTCGAAGCCTGCGAACCAGAGCTTGGCACTGATGATGGAAGTGGTGTCCCTTCCCAATGCTGATTTCCACTGCTCCTGTGCCGCAGCGCCATTCATTGAAGATGATCGCTCGAAAGTGCTCTTGTGGAATCGACATCATGATTAAAGTTAAAGAAGGCAACCCGGCTATATATACCTACTGCGGAGAAGTATGATCGACAGCGATAGTCTATCACGTAGCAGATTCTAGGTATCGATCAATAAGCGAAAGTTCTGGAGCTTTCAAAAAAATCGGCTCAGGACTTTCTTACCATCCCAAGAACTTGTACGATTCAAAAAGTCGGATCTCACCCTGGCTACACAAACCACCTCTATGAGCCCAGCGGCGATTGAGTAATGTTGGGTACCTGTATATCCATGAGGTTCATGCCGCTTCCATCGGTGTAATCAATCGGAGCGATGTCTCCGAGAAATAGCGAACAAACGAACGACGACACCACTGATATTCGCTAAAATTCGGCAAAAATCAGTAAATAATAATGTGCTGGTAATGAATGATTTTTGGTGGGATAATTCGAGTTATGCACGGAATTATAGGCATAAGACTTGTTTTTGGGCAGAAATGTCGTAGCGACAAGTGCCACTTCTTGTCGCGGGCGC